AGGCCAGGCACCATATGGAAAGGGGCAGCCAGACTATGAAAAAGAACAGATGCACAATATAATACCAAACAGTTAAATGGATATCATGATATGTATACCAGCCTGTGAGCATGCAGTAAAAGGGAATATAGAATATTTTATATTATGCAATAGATCTCAACATGTTACAGGCAATTGTAAATGTTTGCCAAGGGCATTTTTACACTAAAGCTGCCATGTACCTGAATGGAAAATACAGTCCCCCCACCCCTTTTTAACTTTAGAACTCATTAGGTTGGCCATATGTAGACAAGGCGCATAAACACTATTATAACTTCCAAAAAAAAATATATATATATATATTTTTTATACATACATACCTTATTCCATAGAGGAAATGTAGATCTGCATACTTAACACTTTTCATAATATTTTTATTTGATAGTAGAGGGAACATATTGTTAGAATTAAATAACCATGCTCACAAATATATAGACATGGCATTGGCTTTCTAAGGCTCTCCTGGACCTTATCTGCCCCTACCTGCGCGAGCTCCTCGCCGCGCGGTCGGAGCGGGCGGGGTGCGAGGTGGCGATGGAGGCTTTTGTGCGCGCGCCGAAGCACGTGCTGCGGTTCCTGCAGCCCGGCCGGCTGTGCCTCCTCGAGGACGCGTCGCGGGGCGTGAGCCTCGGCTGGGGCGTCCTGCTCGGCTGGCGCGGCACCGCCACCTCCGCGTACGTCGGCGGCGCCTCTGTGCCGCCCGAGCGGATGAGGGCGTCGGAGCTGGTGCTGGACGTGCTGCTCCCGTGCGCCGCAGGTGCGCAGGCGCTCGCGCTCGCCGGCGACGCGCCGCAGCCCGCACCGCTGCACGACCCGTCCGCCGAGGCGTGGGTGCTGCCGGTGCGCCTCTCGTGCTTGCAGCAGCTCTCGTCCGTGCGTCTCTGGCTGCCGGACGAGGTGTCCAGCCCGGAAAGCCGCCGCGGCGTGCTGCACGCCTTGCGGCAGGTCTTCGCGGAGCGGCGGCTCGCGGACGCCTCCGCGGCGCGCCAGCTCAATCTGCGCCCGCTCGAGCACCTTGGCGACAGCTCGCCGGCGTGCAAGCGGGCGATGGGCTTGCTCGACGCGGCGGTGGCGCGCGAGGCGCAACTCGACGCCGAGCTGCGCCGCCTCCCTGCTGTGGTGCTGATGGACGTCGGCGGCGAAACCGACGGCGACGGAGCGAGCGGCAGCAACGGGGCGGAAGCTAGCGGGGCTCACGTTGACGGAGCGGGGTGCGGCGGCGCGGCAAACGGGAGCGGCGGCGCCACCAACGGCTCTGGCGCAGGCCGGCCGGCTGGCGGCGCCACGCCGGCGACGCTGGTGGAGCGGGAGGAACGGCTCTCGCGCAAGCAGCTCCTCCAGCAGCAGGCGGCTGGCTTGGCGACCGAGGCGGCGGGGGTGGCGTGCGACGAGTTCGGCGAGACGGTACGCCGGATGCAGCGCGTGCTGCTGCGGCTCGGGCTCGTCGATTCGGAGCGGGTGGTGTTGCTCAAGGGGCGTGCCGCCGCCGAGGTGGACGCTTCGGACGAGGTGCTCGTGGCTGAGCTGCTCTACCGCGGTTTCTTCAACGAGCTCTCCCCCGCGGCAGCGGCGGCGGTCTGCTCGTGCCTGGTCGCGGCCGACATGGAGAAGATCAAGCGGCCACAAACGCCCCTCCCCGCGCTGCAGCCGCCCCTCGCGACCTTGCGCGAGGTGGCCACCGAGGTGGCGCGCGTCTACACGGACGCCGGCATCGCGACGGACGAGGCCGAATACGTGCAGCGGTTCGACAGCGGGATGGTCAACATGGTGCACGCGTGGTGCGAGGGCGCCACCTTTGCCGAGCTTTGCAACTCGTGCGAGCTCTTTGAGGGCTCCATCATCCGCGCTATCCGCCGGCTGAGCGAGCTGCTTGACGAGCTCAAGTCGGCCGCGAAGGCCATGGGCAACGACGAGCTGTTCAGCAAGCTCGAGGAGAGCTGTCGCCTCCTCCGACGAGACATTGTGTTCGCGTCCTCGTTGTACGTTGAAATGTAGGAACGAGGGTGGCGACACCCCATTGACGAAAAAGTTTAAGGTGTTGCTCTTGCTGCGCAAAAGGGGTCGGACTCCTCGGACACAGGGCGCAGCTCATGCTAAGAGCTAGAAGGGGAGCTAGAGAGAACGACCACCCTTTCCCGTTATTGCGTACACCAACACCACAACGAGCCAGAAAAGCTCTCTCTCTCTCCGCTGTGCGAACCACTCTTCATGAGTGTGACGCGTACGGCTTTACACACATGCTTACCGACGTATATGATAACTATATATATGTAAAAGAGCGGGGAGAATCGACACCTGAAGTGAAATGCGTGAGAAAAATCGGTGCGCGTATGTGCGGGGGGGCAGCCGGGCTCTGCCTCTGGGGTGGACCGCGCGGGGGACGAGTCCGCTGCCAGCGCGCAGCGGGGCCGGGGGGGGGAGGTGTGCGCGTGGCGCGTGCGTGTGGGGGTCCGGGGGTGTCTCGGCCCGACGAAAATGTCAAAGTGGAAATGTGACTGATGTGTCTTGTACGACCGGGATGGTGTTCTATTCACCACATGGCATGGAAATGTTTCCTTGTTGTCAGTTGTTACGTGCATGTTTGGGGGGGGCATCCAATTCCGCCTCTGGGCCGATTCAAACCCCTCGGCACACCCTCTCGATCGCTCTGGTCTCGTTCGCGCTCTCCTTTCCCTGCCACTATAGTTCGTCCATCAGAGGGGTGTCCACTACGCCGCTGCCCCCGCTCAGTCTTAGCACGAGCTTATCTTTCAGCTGCCGCTCGGTGCGTTCCCCGACCATCGTCTCGATAACTCGCTGCATCGCCTCCTCGGCTGACTCTCCCGCCGTTTGCGTCCACCAATCCTGCGTCGTGTCGACCACAATCCAGTCGCGGAGCGGTCGAGCGAAGCCAATGATACTCCGCCGTATGGGTTCTGGATAAATGACGATCGGTGCCTCGCCGAGCAGCGCTGGCACCAACGAGAAGCAGCTCTTCGATAGGATGAGCACGTCGGCTGTGGCCATGTGCGCCCACACCTCCTCCAGAGGGCCATCTAGGTGGAGCCGCTCGCCAAAGGCGGCCTCACCCCCCTCGCCCCCGTCGACGTCTGCGGTGCGGTCCCCACCTCGCCAGTGCCTCCGAAACTCCTCTCGGCGGAGGCCGATGCGGTCGGAGCTCCAGGTGCCCAAGTCCCGAACATGGCTTGAGTTGTCCC